TCTATAATGATATTTGCCAACTAAAAATTGTTTGCTGCAGATCAATCACATTGAACTACCCGCATTTAATAAAAGTGAAAACAAATCGATTATAATGGAAGAAAAAAATATTTTGTTGCCTCGAAAAATGGTAATAAAAAAATTCATTTTTAATTGATTATAATCGATTTGTTTTCACTTTTGAGGACACTGACAAGGAAACTCAATTATAATCGATTTTTATTCATGGAACTCCAATGCGGGTAGTTATGGTATTCATTTAATGTTAGAAAATATATTTTCTTTGACCACAAATACATTTCTATCTTGTTTAAAAACGGTTTAGAATAAAAGTTTGTTAGTATAACTTTGGAAAAAATATAATTAAAAAAATTTGAACAGACAGACTAAAATAAATCATCGACATTTTTTTACAAAGGCTAATTTTGATATTATGTTTTTTCCGACAATTGAACATGGGGAGGATTTTTGTATTCGGGTGAGCGTGTAATCAGGTTCGTAATCAGGTACTAAAAATAATCATCGGACTGGGTTGAGTGATTTATTAAGTGAAAATCCTTCAAGCCGGGATTCAAAGGTCATAAAATTTTTCCAAAGATTTTAATGTTGTCGAGAAAGAACCGGTTTAAAACTTTTGATTTTTCAACCGATTTCGAGCGAAGAAGCATGCTTGCATTAGCTTATTTAAGCTTAATTTGAGCCTTGAAAAATTGTTTCCACTAAATTAATGATAATTCATGGAGTTTTAGCGCCATCTTATGATCAAAACTTCAAAAATACAAAAAGTTTTAGTACGTTTTTCGTTTTTTATTAAATATTTTTCAAAAAATGTTTTCCATTTGCTTGTTTTAGTATGACTGTCGAATATGCCAAAATTGTAGTTTTTTTGTTCAGATCTTTTTATCACACCACGCAAAACAAACTAACCATTCGTAAAAAAATTTTTTTTCGCATTTCTAAAACGTTCTGTGCAACTTGCACAATAACGGACTATCCTTCTTTTTTAGGATTTTCTATGCAACAGAGCCTTAACGAAAAATTTTGGTTAGAAGTTTTCAAGTGGCTCATTCAGTATATTGCATTTGTAGATTGAATCAGAATATGCTTATGCTAGAAGCCAACATTCACTCACATACTTCTATAAAAATATTTGCCAACAAAAAATTGTTTGCTGCAGATCAATCACATTGAACTACCCGCATTTAATAAAAGTGAAAACAAATCGATTATAATGGAAGAAAAAAATATTTTGTTGCCTCGAAAAATGGTATTAAAAAAATCCATTTTCAATTGATTATAATCCATTTTTTTTCACTTTTGAGGGCACTGACAAGGAAACTCAATTATAATCGATTTTTATTCATGGAACTCCAAAGCGGGTAGATATGGTATTAATTTAATGTTAGAAAATATATTTTCTTTGACCACAAATACGTTTCTATCTTGTTTAAAAACGGGTTAGAATAAAAGTTTGTTAGTATAACTTTGGAAAAAATATAATTAAAAAAATTTGAACAGACAGACTAAAATAAATCATCGACATTTTTTTTACAAAGGCTAATTTTGATATTATGTTTTTTCCGACAATTGAACATGGGGAGGATTTTTGTATTCGGGTGAGCGTGTAATCAGGTTCGTAATCAGGTACTAAAAATAATCATCGGACTGGGTTGAGTGATTTATTAAGTGAAAATCCTTCAAGCCGGGATTCAAAGGTCATAAAATTTTTCCAAACATTTTAATGTTGTCGAGAAAGAACCGGTATAAAATTTTTGGTTTTTCAACCGATTTCGAGCGAAGAAACATGCTTGCATTAGCTTATTTAAGCTTAATTTGAGCCTTGAAAAATTGTTTCCACTAAATTAATGTTAATTTATGGAGTTTTAGCGCCATCTTATGATCAAAACTTCAAAAATACAAAAATATTTAGTACGTTTTTCGTTTTTTCTTAAATATTTTTCAAAAAATGTTTTCCATTTGCTTGTTTTAGTATGACTGTCGAATATGCCAAAATTGTAGTTTTTTTGTTCAGATCTTTTTATCACACCACGCAAAACAAACTAACCATTCGTAAAAAAAAATCCTTTTTTCGCATTTCTAAAATGTTCTGTGCAATTTGCACAATAACGGGCTTTCCTAGTTTTTTAGGATTTTCTATGCAACAGAGCCTTAACGAAAAATTTTGTTTGAAATTTTCAAGTGGCTCACTCAGTACATTGCATTTTTAAATAAGCGCATTGAAAAACCAATTTTGTCAACTGATCAAGAGCAAGTTTCCAAAATGGAAGCATGCAATCGAACTCTTTATAAGAGATCTTAAAATAATACCTAACTGGGTTTCATGATAATTTGTTTGAAAAAACGCAAATCTTGAAAGTTTTTTTTTTGCCTAATTCCTGAAATGAGATAATACCAGTTGTTTTTGAAAACCATTTTCGTTTATTTATAAAAGTTTCATGCGTTGATTTTTTTTTCATTGAAATTGAGGTCAAATTGTGCTGATTATTGAAAAATCATGTTATTAAGTGTTTTAAGTCATTATTTTCCGCTAAAATCTCGTTAGCTGCAGACCAAAAGGTTTTAAGATTAAATATTTAAAATCAATTGAAAACGTGTCAAAACGAAAAAAATCCTCTGTTTCTTTTTGAAATTTTCTTACTTTTTTTGGTTTTTTATTGGCCAAAAAAAATTCGGCTTTTTATGGGACAAAAAAAAATGTATTTAAAAGTATAAAAATGCAGAAGAAATATGTGACGATTTTACTGTTTCCATTTAAAAAAATAATCACCTTGTCAGAGAAGCGAATTTTTTTGAAAATTTTTTCCAAAATTAAAAATTAAACAGAGGATAGAATCAAGTATAATAGAAATGCTATAAATTTTTCCATGTAATAAGTTTTTTTCCACATTTCCACAGATTTATTGCAGTTGTGAATAAAATTGTTTCAAACTTGCTGTTTTTGGAGAAAAGCGAGATACTTGGTACGTATTAACACGTTTGATTTTCAGTCGGGCATTTCTGTTTTACGTAGTAGCGTTATGTTAAACATACGTCGCTTTTTTTTCTACATTCTTTTTTGAAGCTAAAACTTCTATATAAAATATGCGATTGTATGCGAAAAAATATGACATGCAACTGAACAGCAACTGAACATGTTATTTAATTTTTTTTGCAATTATTGAATACAAAAAATGAAAGGTAGTCTGATTTACACGAAACTTCTGAAATTTTTAAATGCGTTAGCTGGCGCAAAAATAAAAAAAAAATGAATGAAGTTTTTTAGGAATCCCTGAGGCCGGCAGACAGACACAGAATGAGTTTGAATATAAGCGGGTCAGACATAATTGTAAAAATATATTCGGTTCACAGCCAGCCATTATTCGAATCGACGAAACAATACAGTTAGAAATATTCCTAGACAATTTTGACTTGCAACCCAACAATTGAAAACTTTCAAGACTGCTAAAGAAATGATGCAAAATTAAAGCTTAGCTCCACTTCCAACTAATTCAATCCATTAACGCTGAGAAACAGGAAGTGTTCAATTTCATCGAAGTGTTTTTTTGAAATCAGTAAACTGACAAGGCTCAACATAGAGAAGAGCAGACCAATTAGCATATCAACTGCTAGTTTTTTTCAAACTGGTGCTGCAAAAAGCCAATTAACATATTTGCAATAGCTCAAAAATGAGCCGCTTAGCTCTCTGATAAAAAGTGAATTATCAACCCAGTCGTGGGCGTTCAACAGTACCGAAGTACAACAGTGCCGAAAATAGCGGGAAAGTTTCAGAATCATTTAAATGCTTTTTCTAAAGAGCGGGAAACTACTGACGCTAATGAACAAAGAAAACAAAACTGCTCGTATCAGGGTGAGGTTTTGAATGTTCCGACTACCTCTCAAGGTCTATGGAGCAGTAATAACATGAAAAAATTAAATGCAATAAATAAAAATGAATTTATTTTAAATTGAGATTTTTTTTGAAATTCACCCTCCAACCAACCCCACACGCCATATACAGTTCATAGTGATAGATTTCGCTCCAACAAATCAATTATGGCAAATAAACTTCCTTCAATCAATTTGGAACGAAATCTAAGACGGATTAAATCTCCGCTTACGCGTTAATAAAACGTTTACAAATTTTTACAAAATTAATCACTGGTGAAATATCTTTTCAAATTTAAGCGCAGGACAACAATACCTTTTGAATGATATGAAAAAAATCCCGTCAAAAAGGGCTAGTTAAAAAGTCATATTTTGTCTGAAGAAAAAAAACCCACCCCGAGCACATTTATTCCGTTACTTTCGTTACGAAATTCGGAACAATCATTCCCATTTTGGCGCCAAAATGTATGCAACTGACTGCAACTTAAACAATTACTTTGCGCCAAAACGTCTAAGAAGGCAAACTTTCTCGCTCAAAATCTTGAAGTGTCACTTAATAATGACAACGATCGCCGTTCAATTTTTGATTGCTGCACTTAATACGTTGAAATTTGTTGAAACTTTTGGCACTGTTAAACAAAGTTTTCATTTTTGGCATTGTTGAAATAATTTTTTTCGGCTCTGTTGTACTTCGGCACTTGTACTGCCCCACTCAGCCAATTATGAAATATGGCTATCAATGAGGCTGCATTTCAGAGCACATATCGCCAAACAACCTTTTTTGCTTTTTACCCAAACGTCGTGCTCAAGTATTTAATTATGTCAGAAAATTGTTGCTATGGCAGGCGTTTTATAAAAATTTGTTTCGACTTTCAAGAAGGCGATATTGTTCTGAGGTGATATAATTGTTTCTTGTTTGGTGTTTTTTTTTTCAAAAATTTGTAGTTTTAATAGTGATTTGCGAGTTGTCGGAGAAATCTGTTTGGTTGACCTATAAAAAAACCTTTAGAGAGAATCCTTGAACCACCCCTGCTGGGACGCACCTTTATCTGTTCTTACAATATTATAACTAAATTTGGTATTATATATAATTAGGAAAATTACAAGAACCTTAAGAGAGCATCTCATTTTCAAATGAAACTGCACGTATTATTTTATGTTCCATTTTTGAACTAGAAGCAACAAGGTATATATAATTCAAAGCATCTATAAACTGCAAAACTATCTATTTATATCTAATTGAACAGTTTAACCAAGACAACATATAAATAAACGTCTACTAGGGGAGAATTTGAATTTGAGTTTTTGAAATATTTATTCTAAACGAAGTTACAAGTTTTAATAATCCAAACTACATTTGGTAATCGCGGGACAAGTAGAAAGCCCAATATCCAAACATGAGTGTGAAAAACGCCAGAGGGAAGAACCAGCGCGAAAAACTGTCGATCGCTCCAACATCTTCCATTTGGAAATTGCACCCATTTCCAGCTATTTTTCCTCGGATGTGACCCATCAAGGAGACGCGACTTTGCGGGTCCGGATTGTGTCCGTGACCACTGACACCTCCCGTGCAGCCAGCGCAGAAGGACTCGACTCCAACTCCGTGGTGGTTTTCAGTGGGATTCGATCCGGGTACGAAGTGTTCCTCGGGGTAGATGCAGTTGTTCTGCATGTAGTAGTGTCTCGGGTCCACTTCGATGTCGTTGACGCTGGACACTCGCTGACCAGATGGGGCTCCGTGTTTCCTGAAATAACTTGAATTTTAAAAGGAAAACTGAAATTTGTTCCGAGCTAATACAAATTATCTCATTGCTTATTGACGGGCAAATAAGATTTCCCGGAAATAAAAACATGAAAAACCGATCTCGGTTACATCCGTGAACAACCGATACGCATACCCGGTTTGAACAAATATTCTAACGAGCAATTTCTAGAAACAATTAAATTTTTCTGATGCAACTCCATATAATTACATATCAAACAAGGATGGCCGGTTAATCTGCAAGTAGCACAGAATGCACCGAGCACGCTAATTCAGTAAAGGCTGGAAATAAAGAAAAATCGCAACTTACCCTTTAAAAGCGCAAAATAGATGGCTCTTTAATTGTACCAAATTTCAAATCCGTAGGAACTTTACAAAAAAAACATCACAGGTGTGAAATATATTTGTTTTACTTTGAGCTCAGGATGTCAATAACTTTCAGATGATATAAAAGACTCCGTTCAAAGGTAGCTAGGTGAAATTCGAAATTGATCTAAAGAAAAAACTTCACATCGAGATTAAATATTTTCTCACTTTCTTCGATAATCGGGACAAAAATTGTGCATTAAATATTTAGGAGAACCGAATCAACAATATGAAAACTTGTTTTTAAGAAATCTGGTGTTTTCGCTGTGAGGTTACATTCTTTGCGAGATGTGGATTAGTTTATCATCAATGAATGAACTTACTTAAAAAAACTGATAAACAGCGGAAGTTAACTTTTTCTTTGAACTCATTTTGAATCTAGGCTTAATTAAAGATTAATTATCCTCAAATGAAACTACAAAACTCAGACATCTGTTCTTGAATCTGATCTTCCTTTTGAGTTCAGTTAATTTTCCGGAATGGCATTCTTACGCCATTCTCAAGATCTGGGCGATTGACTGGGTTTTGAAATAAATCTCTTCTTGGTTGAGAGGCCCTGGTTATAAGAATCAAGTAAATATTTCCCATTAAAGGCCACATAAAATTATATAGACACCCTAAAAATAAAACTTCTTTGGCCAGCCATAATTTTCTTTGCTTCCACGCTGGCCAGAGCCATAATGGTAGATAGGGTGATTATTTCCGGTAATTTATGAGTACAATAAAGTAAGAAAAAGGTGAAACCAACAAGCAGAATTTCTAAGAGTTTTTTTTTATATTAGAAAAATGGATTTTTGTATTTTTTATATTAGAAACGTTGCATGCAAAACCGAATGTTTAGACAACCTAGCGGTTTCAATTCTGTGAAAGAAAACTGAATTTTACTGAATGTCAGTTGATCTTTTCGATTACGTCTGCCTGATTACGTCGGATTTCAGTTTATCACTAATTTTCAAACAATAAACCGTGTCAAAAGACTAATTAAATTAAACTGCTACAATTTGTGGCCAAGTAATTTGTTCAAGGAAACCGAATATTGCAAATAAAATTGCATTAACCATTTAATTATACCGGTACCTGACCTTCATATGAAAACTCACACTAAAACACAGCTCGCACTAAAAGACAACTCGCAGTAGCGCGCCCGTCAAAACTTCGAGTGTTCGTTTTCCTTAAATTTTGCGAGATAAATTTTGTTACGAGATGTTTTTTGTAACAAGATTTTTTTGTTGTTCCGATCATTGAAAAAGAGGAGGAACTTTGTATTCGGGTGTGTTTTAGTTTTTAGTTTTTTACGCAAAATTAGGTACCACACATAATCATGGGAATGGGCCAAGTGGTATATCATACTAAAGCCCCTTTTAGTCATGATTCAAATTACATTTTAAAAAAATGAAAAAAATCCTCAGTGTCCAAAAAAAAGAGAAAAAATTGTTTGAAATTTTTGATGTTTGATCTAATTTCGAGCGAATAAAGCAAGCGAGCATGCTTATTATAGAAGGATAAACCATGAAATTTATTTTTTTCCTTAAGAAGCTTTATAATGCCATTTTGGATTAAGATTCTTCATAATTCGAAACATATTTTTTCCGCAAAAAAAATTGGAAAAAAATTGAAATCTTTTGAATTTTGTTTTCGTTTTTTTCCTAGTCATTTTTCGGCAAAACAGCATGAAAAAAACTTATAAAGTATTTTCAAGAAAATTTTCGGAACAAATTGACTACTTGCACTGCAACCAGCTATAGATTGGTCTTTTTGTTACGAGTTGTTGCGGCGCCGTACCTGATGAGTACGATGTCACTGTGAAGCAGCTCCTGGATCTCGTAGCTCCTGCTCTTGTCAATCTGTCTCTTGATCTTCTGACTCTCCTTCTTCACAGGGATCTGCTGGTCCATGTAGCACACCACTGCAAACTCAATCAGGGAGGCAAACACGAAGAGGAAGCAGCCGGCCAGGTAGACGTCTATCGCCTTCATGTACGATATCTTGGGCATGTTCGCATTCGTCGAGGAGATGAGAGTGAGCAGGGTTAGTACAGTCGTGATTCCTATCGTATACACAAACATAAAAAACAAGGGTTCAAGCAGCACAAAAAATTTTGGCCGAATAATCCAGTTTTCGTAAATTTCTTTGAAAATCATAAGAAGAAAACAAGCTTTTAATTTAGTAAGGTTTAACAACATAGCGCTGAGCTTTACGGTCCCCAAATTTCAAATATTTGTCAAAACTCCAAAAAATAGTGTGTAAAAGATCTTTTGAACCAAAAAAAAATTAGTGACGCTGCCAAAATGACTCAATCAACCTGTGTCAATGTATAGCAAACTTTAAGAACTAGGACCACTTGCTTGGATTTTTTGAAAAACTCTTTAAGTCCTGAAACAAAATTTGCGGAATTCATTCTCAGAACATTCTTTGAGAGGACGGAAACTCAATATAAATTGACGTATTAAAACAGAGATCAATTGAACTTATCCTGAGAGCCGGAAGATAAATGTAAGCTGTCGTAGAAAAAGACAGATCTCATTAACGCAGACAACTTACCCAGAGCAGCTCTGGCAGGAATGGCAGTCCTGGCTACCCAAAATGACACCCAGGAGACCATGACTATGAGGGTGGAGGGGATGTACATCTGGATGATGAAGTAGAGCGTGTTCCTGCCGAAGACGAAGCTGGCCTCCAGAGTGGACCAGTTGCCAGTAGTCAGAGTCCGGTTGAAGTCCCGATAAGTCAGGTTCATCACCTGACAACAATAAAACAATGGATTCAGTGATTCTTACAGTTATTCATTACAAGGCCTACTAATTTAACTACGATTTGATATAAGAACTTACAACGGCAACAAAAAATAAATAAGGAGCAGTTTCGCGCATATGAGACAAACTAAATCATTCTGTAGTTGCTCCAAAAAATAATATGAATTGATTTTTAGAGATCATTAAATAAATTTAAAAATCTCAACATGCATTCAGACAAAGACGTTCTTGGTTGATGAAAGATGCAACTTTTAAGGTTTCAGGGTGAAACTAAGCAAAAGTCTGACATTTGGCTGATCAATGTATTAATAATTTTTGCGACAATAAGGAAAAAAGTTAGTCGCTACCATGCGCGACTATCAGACTTCGTCAGTGGTGTTAGGCTTGCCTGGAAGTTAGCGAGTGTGATGTCATCTGATATCTGGATGGGGGTCTCGTCTGGATTCTGTACCCAGAAGTACTGGATATCATCAGCCGTGTAGCCCCAGCTGCAAATATCGAAAGAGGTCACAAGAGGTCACAGAAAGACAAAAAAAGTAACAAAATCAGCCAGTTGATGCCATTAACCGACATTTTTTCCCAAAAAAAGTCAAGGGGGCGCTGATCAAAAGTAGTTTTTTATTTTCAATATTTATTTTTCAATGTTATTCACACACCGCAGCAGGTTTAAAATAAAAATGATAAGCCTTGCTGGCTTACAGGTTTGTTTTAAATGGCAGCAGCATGATTTGAGGGCCAAAATTTGATTTAAATATCATCTTTGCCATGATTTTCACGTTTTTCTTCCATTTTCGCCTTTTTATTGACAAGAATGAAAGTCGCAGGTGCTTTCAAATTTAAGTAGTTGTAAGTGAATCGGATTGACATTCCAATTACATGCGAATTACAAGTTTATTTTGGAATCGGGAATGTTAATCAAACTGGTCTCTAGACATTTTCCCGTTCTTCCCATATCAGACCGCCCCATTTTTCCGTTTGCCCGATTCTGAAAAAATTCTAATTTTCAAATCCCAAGTTGGAATATTGGGACCCTAATATTGATTCATTCCAAGATGGCTGTTATGCGCCTCAGATGGTAACAAAAGCAGAATAAATGAATAGAATTATTTGCGCCTTCATATAATATATACGGGTACGCCTTAATAGTTTATGAGGCTCTCAATAGTCGAAATATAATAGTTCATGGTCGGTTGCACTCAAAAAAAGGTAGCCGTACAGAAACCTTTATCATCGAAGCTGGGTTATTTTTGTAATCTTTCTTACGAATGCTTAGTATGGTGAACAGAATCTCAAAAAAAAACCTCTAAAACTTGAAAACTGTGACCGAAACCTTCTAAAAACTTCATGTTTCTTCAGGCTCTCAACTGTTTGCCTTCGGCGCACAAATATTTTTCAAAACAAAGTCATTACAGAGCTTCCGAAGAGCTCGGAAAATCAATTTGGTTGACCTAAACAGTCATAGAAATTTTCAATTGTTTTTAAAAGCAACACACAAGCAAAACCCTAAATCCGTTCCCGAGTCCTCAAAAAGTGAAAAGTGAATCTTTTCATCTGTAATTTAGAAAATAATTTGAATTTTTTTTGAGAAGGCGGAGCTCCAACGGGATATAGTGTGAAAAGTGTTTGGGCACCTGGCGATTCGGAGCACACACTTCTGCACATCCATGGGGAAGTAGGCCAAGTCCATTGGACACCTGGAAGTGACTGTGACCCTCATACTCATCAGGATGTGGCCATTCTTCTCCAACCTACAGCGACAGAACAAAGGGCCAAGTGATAGAACATGTGATGATACAAATTGACACCATCTAGGGGATTAGAAATTATGGGCTCTTTTTCCTTCCCCCCCACCTCACTCAAACATGAACTTTATGGTCTAAAGAGTGGTTTTACGAGGTTTATTATGGAGACCAAATATGTTTGTCATAGCCTAATTAGTCTGCATGTCAATTTTCATGACAATCGGACAAAGTGAACAGTAACTTCATATTACAAATTTGCAGGTGGGGGGAAAAGGAAAAAGAGCCAAATTATACTGCTTAATTAGGGCATGACTTCACTTGTTGCCGAAGCAACTACATTTTTCCCAATCTATGTAAATCAACGGTCATTGCAATCAAGCCTTTGTAATCTCTCTGATATAATCACTCTTGAAACAAATCAGACCTAAAAAAGTTGACTCTTGGAGCCATATGTTTTGATGTAAAGTGAGATGTAATGTCAACAACATCACTAGGCCTAACTGGCTTATTGACAGTTTTCAGTAGAATTTTTTCTGATATAAAAACAATACGTTATGATTATTAACAAATGGATTGTGAAATAGCAGTATCATTCAAACATGTTCAAAAATAATTGCGTGCAGGTGCTCATTATTGCAAAGATGGAATAATTAAGTTTCGAACCACAGCCCTCGATCCAAAACTTTTCCATATTGCATGACACCGCATTAAAAGCAATTCTGCCCACCCGCTACTGGCCGAAAAGTTGTGATGCTAATCAAAAAAACCTGCACAGAAGTTGGACTCTACTAACTATGCAGTTGAAAACTTTTTGTCAATAGGTTCAAGTTTGATTCGCTGAGTAAAAATTTGAGACAAAAAATGTGACGTCATAGGCTCCAGCTTCTTCTTTAAAATAACGATAATACAATTGTGATAATATTTCATCTACCTGAAGAAGATGTTCTTTTTGGTGACGTCGTGCACGTATGACTCAGTCTCGGTCTGGAAGAAGGAGTCGGGGATCCAGAGAGAGTCCACCACGTCCTGGGACAGCACAAGTTTGGCCACAGTCTCATTCGAGAAGTCCAGTCGCTTGTCCTGTGACAAATGTTTACAATAAACAAAAAATAAAAATAACAAATAAATGACTCACAACAATTTTTGCTTTCCAGATTTATTGAGTAAGGTTTTTTTCTCGAAAAACATCTTCAAGACATTATTTGGTATCGGCGCTAATTTTGGTTATATGAGCCCTAATGCAACTCCAAAAGCTGTTTGAGTTTAGACGCAAAGTCCATCCGTGACTAAGCAAGTAGCTCAAATTATGCAAATAGTTCTAGTAAATAACACAAAAAAGTTCAAAAAATATATATGGTTTTAGAAAAAAATTTCATCTTCCATAAAAAAGTAATTAACTTTTTTGGAAGATGAAATAAAAGACTTTTTGCGAATAGTTTGAATAAATTTTTGATTATTTTACGACAAATAAGTTTGTTTTCTTTTATTAGAGCCATATTCTGACTGGGTTCCAGCCGATTACCACGTGTGTCAATTAGCAAGCCGGCGAAGCCGACTTGCTAGCTGCTTCAAAACTATTCGGCTTGCTGGCTGATTCAAATTTGATTTACTCAAACTTTCACTTTCGATGAGCACGCAAAATCACCGAAATTCATCAAGTAAAAAGACATTTCAATTCCATTCACAAAGCAGTCAGTGTAAAATTCAATGAAAGTTCATTTGATTCCTAATTTAAATGTTTATTTTAACATTTCGTGATTGTTGTATAATTTTTTAAAAGTGCGCCCAACCAAACTAATTATTGCAGGCGAAAATACTTATCGCGTTGCCCTTGTTCTTAAAGACTTTGCCATAAGAATGAAACAAATTTTTAAACGAAGCGGCTGCTCTGCCTGACTTCCAACCTCAGCTTTAGATGCTACGGAAACCTAGATATTCTGTTGGGGCGCCCTTCCTTAGCCGGATCCAAAGTGAATATGGCCGCCCAACAGCGGAAAATTGGAATCGCAGTTTACCTGTTCGTAAATAGGATACCTTTCCGGGGTTGAGGGGCTCATCCGCGGCAAGTTTTAAGACCCTACAGCTTTATGGAGTTTATATACAGATAAAACAGGGCAAGAATGCCACTCTCGATACTAGTTAAAAAAAAGCGGATATTGATAAGGTAAACGTGCTGGAAGCAACTGCCTCGCTTGCTCTCAGTGCAAGTCGTAGTTTCTCAAGGAATTTTGTGGAATATCAGGCCGGCTGGTACCCAACCCAAAATATTTTGCCCCAGGCGCAGCGGATTTTGTCGCGGCCTATCGACGGTCACACTTGGAATATGATTGATGTAGGCGGCGCTGCGCTCGATGTTGAGCCAACTTTCTGCTACCGAGGGAAATGCTCAGTGCTGGCGGGGACTGTGATAGTGCATTACTGCCCTATGTTCCTCGGCCTGGTGTAGGTTCAGCAAAGTACTCCCTCACCTAGTTTAGCGGCACATCTCACTTAGAACACGTGGAAAAGCGTAAACTTCTTGTGTTTGATTATCGACGCTGCGCGGAAAGAAAACTTGTCCCAACGTAACAGATATGCAACGACTCCGACAAAAGGACCGTGCATTGATTTGTTGGATCTGTGGATTTAAACCCGCTGTTCATGACCCAAATGCACTTCTTGATAAATTCGGTTTGTGTGCAACGGCCTTCGGAGCAGAGACCTCAGATGATTCGGACAACTTGATTAAGTTCTTTTCGCTTCAAGCATCAAAATGGACCATGAGATGACAATGGCAATCATCAAAAGACGTAGGAAACGTTGTTCATCAAAAGACGTTTGTTTAGAATGAGTAGAAACTGATGTCAAGGAAATGGAACGTTGCCTTACTCAAATTGACCAGCGAGATCGTATATGACGTAGAACTGCAGTTCGACAATGCCTGGTGGGATCACCAATTGATGGGAGAGACAGCACCGAAATTAAAAACCGTATATGATGATGATGATGGTTCAACCCTTTTCTGGGCATGGACGACAGGGGTAGCGTCATGATGGAAGAACCAAATGGTGGAAGACTTTTAACGTGCAAAATTGAAATTATTATTGACATGTTTGCACAAAAATGAATTCATGATTGAGAGAAATTGAGTTACAGCAGCACAGCAAAGATCTGCAGTTAAATTTGTTCAGAAAAACGATATATTTTTTTGGGTTAACTGTTAATTTTTTCTGAATTTAAATATGTTAATTAAATCAAGGTTTGATATTTCATTTATCTGCATATTTTCTAATCAATCATTATTTATTTTACTCGACTGGATTTATTCCTTTTTTTGAGAATTTGCAATTTCTGTGCATTTTTTGAGTACTCACTTCTAATTGGCTGAAAATGACTCAAAAAAACTTTTCCGTCAATTGATATATCCATCATGAGGGACACCACATGGGTGATGTTTTGATGTTTTTGTCTCATCTTATTTCTGTACATATTAAAGGATTTTGAATAATTCCTACCAATATACAATAGGCCTTACAGAAGACCCAACTCCTCAGAGGACAGTAAGTAAAATGCAATATGCAAAATGACAGAGGACATTGTGTCATGCAGGATCTTGCGAAAATCCCGCAAAATAAAATGCAATATGCAGAACTTTTTCAAGAATCTTGTAAGACTTGCAAAAGATAGCATCATTATTGTGATCTAAGGGTCGTCTTTTTATGAAATCCGTTTTCTGGAAGAAAAACCAACAAGGAATACGTGAATTCTTTGAACTATGTGGTCGTTACAGCCATCATTTTGCTCGAATCACGGCTCGCAATCACGGCTCGAAATGTTGCGTTACTTACTGCAACATTTCCGATTTGTAACATATTTTCAGAAATTTTCTCTTTTTTTCAATATTCGATTTTTTTCAATAACTGTATTTCAAAATGTTCAAAAAAATAAAGCTACTCACGCTCCAAAATTGTCTGAAGTAGAGGCTCAGTTTGAAAGTCATATCCACTTCAGAAACAGGACCAATAGAGACCACGTACATAGTCGCATTGACTAATAAGGGCGAAATACCCGACAGGGGCCGAAGTCTCTTCTCGTAATCCTCCAAAAGGCGAGACAGAATCCGCTCCTGCACGCTGTCTGTGTTCTCTTTGCATACCACAGTCGGGAATTTATGTAATACTGACGCCATTAATAAGAATATATGAACTTTCCATAAAGCTGACATGATGATTGGATGGCACTTTTCTAGAGCTTCCAGTTGAGAAAATGATGTTGATGAAATTCGATCTTGGTGACAATCGATGCCCAGTCGTTTCGATTCAAAGTAGTTGGCTTCTGCTCTGTATTTGGATGGAATTCAGTTCAATTTTCGCTCTTTGTCAATTATTTTGCTTCAAGTATTCTTCAATCAGAGAAAACATCCCCTTGATTCGAAGATGAAGAAAACATTCTTTGCATTGTGCTCGAAGATATTTTAAGGCCGGGTAATTTGGTGATGGATATTCCTAAATCAAAACATATTTTCCTGTTATGTCTTATATCAAATGAATAATCGTTTTTTGATAAGAAAATGATACAAGTTAATTACGAAAAAAACTGCATAATGCTATTGTTATTGTCACAAATTATTTTTGACTTGTGTGAAACAAAAGAGGTTTTGTACTATTTAAAAAAGGTTTGATTCAGAGATAAAAAAAATAAATGGGCAAAAATTGAGTTCATTTTAGCCGTGTCACAAAAGTACACTTAGTACAGTGCTGATTTAAATTATCCGGACAAACGAACAAAACTTGAATTTTCAAACGTGTTTTTCTCAAATTGGGTTAAGATTAGACAAAAAGTAAAGAGATTAAACTTTGCTTAGAATTTCATCAGAACTAATATGGTGCTATTTTTTCTCCAATTTTCTCAACCAAAATTTAACCCCAAAATTGTAAGGCTATGTAAGAGGCTTCTTGTGATATATATTCCTCATCAATTAACAGAGTAGTTTCATCGTAATTTTTGATCAATTGAAGAAAGCCAAAATGACTCATTTTTGGGTTAAAATTTTGTTTGAGAGTTTCGGGAAAAAATGCACCATCTTAATTCTGATGAAATTCTAAGCAACCTTTGTTCTCTTCACTTTTTGTCTAATCTTGACCCAATTTGAGAGAAACGTGTTTGAAACATCAAATTTTGTTCATTTTGTCCGGATAATTTAAATCAGCACTGTGCACTGTACGATTAAAACAATCATCATAAAAAATGAACTGCCGTCATGTCAAAATTCAGAAACTAAAACCAAAAAGTGAATTCCTTTATGTTTTTCTTTCTTAAAGCAATAAAAAAATGTTCTGAAATTTTAAAACCGTGATATACTTAATGAGAATTTACGGTGAATTTTTTTTGTAGCTCGACTAAAACAGGAAGCAGATTAAAATTCAAACTGTGATAATTCCATCAAAAGCGTTTTAAAACGATGAATCAATTTTCAAAGGAAAACAAAACTGTCGCTAAATTTTTGTGCAGAAACGTTCATCTCAGATTAACAGTATCATCAAAAAACCAAGACAAGATAACATAATTTTCCAAGATAAGTTTGCTTTATTGTAAATTAATGCTCCATTATTTTACAATAATGACTGAAATTTTAAGCCGCTCAGTTCTTTAAGTTTTATTGATTTTTCGAAAAATACATTAATCCACCCGAAGCGTTTTTAAAGAGAAGCAAAACTGAGACCATTATGCCATTAAAACGCATTCGAGCTAAGTTTAACAGGAGATTTGAATAGAAGGTATTATGGGATAGTAGTTTCCCATTTTTTTCACTGCAATTCAGCAAAATTTAAAAGGTTTCTGTCAGATTTCTAGTCTCCTGCTTAGCGGGTAGATCAATCGGGGACTAAGCAGCATAAATGTGACACTCTCTTTTTTTAAACAAGAAGATCCGCTTCTGAGTCTTATGAACAGAGGTGAAAAAAGAAACAATAAATAAAAAAGTTTATCCCAGCTTTTCAATTCACAAGGCCATAGCTGAATATTTACTCATGCTCCTCTCACATTTCGGATGGAAATATGTTAAGCGCTTCGACAGTCCAGAAACATGAGGTATATCTGGGGGCTATCGACACGAAGCGCGGACGCCAGTGTAGCACACCCACCGCAGAATCAATTGATGAGTGTTTTCATTCAAATTTAGTATAATAAAAGACACATTAGTATGCTAAATTTAGTATTATGCTGGTATGCTAAAATAAGTAGTATGCTAAATTTAGGCTAAAATAAGTAGTATGCTTGGAGTATGCTAAAATAAGTAGTATGCTAAAAGTATGCTAAAACTAGTAGTATGCTAAAAGTATGCTAAAACTAGTAGTATGCTAAAAGTATGCTAAAACTAGTAAGATGCTAAAAGTATGCTAAAACTAGTAGTATGCTAAAAGTATGCTAAAATAAGTAGTATGTTTAGAGTATGCTAAAATAAGTAGTATGCTAGAAGTATGCTAGAATTAGTAGTATGCTAAATTTATGCTAAAATTAGTAGTATGCTAAAAGTATGCTAAAACTAGTAGTATGCTAAAAGTATGCTAAAACTAGTAGTATGCTAAAAGTATGCTAAAACTAGTAGTATGCTAAAAGTATGCTAAAACTAGTAGTATGCTAAAAGTATGCTAAAACTAGTAGTATGCTAAAAGTATGCTAAAACTAGTAGTATGCTAAAAGTATGCTAAAACTAGTAAGATGCTAAAAGTATGCTAAAACTAGTAAGATGCTAAAAGTATGCTAAAACTAGTAGTATGCTAAAAGTATGCTAAAATAAGTAGTATGTTTAGAGTATGCTAAAATAAGTAGTATGCTAGAAGTATGCTAGAATTAGTAGTATGCTAAAAGTATGCTAAAACTAGTAGTATGCTAAAAGTATGCTAAAACTAGTAGTATGCTAAAAGTATGCTAAAACTAGTAGTATGCTAAAAGTATGCTAAAACTAGTAAGATGCTAAAAGTATGCTAAAACTAGTAGTATGCTAAAAGTATGCTAAAACTAGTAAGATGCTAAAAGTATGCTAAAACTAGTAAGATGCTAAAAGTATGCTAAAACTAGTAGTATGCTAAAAGTATGCTAAAACTAGTAAGATGCTAAAAGTATGCTAAAACTAGTAAGATGCTAAAAGTATGCTAAAACTAGTAGTATGCTAAAAGTATGCTAAAATAAGTAGTATGTTTAGAGTATGCTAAAATAAGTAGTATGCTAGAAGTATGCTAGAATTAGTAGTATGCTAAAAGTATGCTAAAACTAGTAGTATGCTAAAAGTATGCTAAAACTAGTAGTATGCTAAAAGTATGCTAAAACTAGTAGTATGCTAAAAGTATGCTAAAACTAGTAGTATGCTAAAAGTATGCTAAAACTAGTAGTATGCTAAAAGTATGCTAAAACTAGTAAGATGCTAAAAGTATGCTAAAACTAGTAAGATGCTAAAAGTATGCTAAAACTAGTAGTATGCTAAAAGTATGCTAAAATAAGTAGTATGTTTAGAGTATGCTAAAATAAGTAGTATGCTAGAAGTATGCTAAAACTAGTAGTATGCTAAAAGTATGCTAAAACTAGTAGTATGCTAAAAGTATGCTAAAACTAGTAGTATGCTAAAAGTATGCTAAAACTAGTAGTATGCTAAAAGTATGCTAAAACTAGTAAGATGCTAAAAGTATGCTAAAACTAGTAGTATGCTAAAAGTATGCTAAAATAAGTAGTATGTTTAGAGTATGCTAAAATAAGTAGTATGCTAGAAGTATGCTAGAATTAGTAGTATGCTAAATTTATGCTAAAATTAGTAGTATGCTAAAAGTATGCTAAAACTAGTAGTATGCTAAAAGTATGCTAAAACTAGTAGTATGCTAAAAGTATGCTAAAACTAGTAAGATGCTAAAAGTATGCTAAAACTAGTAGTATGCTAAAAGTATGCTAAAACTAGTAGTATGCTAAAAGTATGCTAAAACTAGTAGTATGCTAAAAGTATGCTAAAACTAGTAAGATGCTAAAAGTATGCTAAAACTAGTAGTATGCTAAAAGTATGCTAAAATAAGTAGTATGTTTAGAGTATGCTAAAATAAGTAGTATGCTAGAAGTATGCTAGAATTAGTAGTATGCTAAATTTATGCTAAAATTAGTAGTATGCTTAGAGTATGCTAAAATAAGTAGTATGCTAAATTTATGCTAGAATTAGTAGTATGCTAATTTTATGCTAAAATTAGTAGTATGCTAAAAGTATGCTAAAACTAGTAGTATGCTAAAAGTATGCTAAAATTAGTAGTATGCTAAAAGTATGCTAAAACTAGTAGTATGCTAAAAGTATGCTAAAACTAGTAGTATGCTAAAAGTATGCTAAAACTAGTAGTATGCTAAAAGTATGCTAAAATTAGCACTATGCTAAAAAGGCTAAAATTAAAAAAAATATATGTTCGAACAAACTAAGCGGATAATTGTGAGAAAATTAGGGAAATGTAAAAAAAGTACATGTTAACTGTGAGGGGCGAAGTCTGTATGTAAATTAGGGGCGAAGTGATCGAGGGCAAAACGTGCTATATGCACCCGTCACAAACCTTCCTGTAGTTTTTGTTGAATCCTTTTTGCTTTTAAGGACGTTCAGTTAGTCGCTAAGTAACTTTTCCAGTAAGAGATGTGCGTTTGGTCTTGAAAAAGAAAAGAAAAAGAGTACTATGAAAACTACGAACGCCCTAAACATCAAAATAGTACGTACCCATATAGCCCTTTTCCTGGGTAGCCAATAAACTAATATTCATCTTGTTAGGGTATTTAGCGACAAAACAAAATACGACTAAATAAATGAATTCGTCTCAAAATCTGGACTACATTTTTTTGAGCATTTCAAAACTTTTTTTCGAAACTATGCTAACAACAACCCAATAGAAAAAAGTAATACTTTTGTGTGAGTAGTTTCTTCTTTATCCATTAGAGCAAAAAACGGGACTGTTCCTGGACCCTAGCCGGAAAAAATGCTTAACAAATTAGTCGCGTTTTTTGCTCTAATTGATAAAAAAAGAAACTATTCACACAAAAATATCACTTTTTTCTATTAGATTGTTGTTAGCATAAATTCAAAATTTTTTTTGAAATGTTCAAAAATGTAGTCCAGATTTTGAGACGAAATCTTTTATTTAGTCGTATTTTGTTTTGTCGCTAAATAACCTAACTAGATAAATTTTAGTTTTTTGGCTATTCGTGAAAAAGGGATCTGTGAGTCCGCACTAAAATGATGCTCAGGGCTTTTGTCCAGGAACAAAGATTTTTTCGGCTTTCCTGGAACAAACTGTATTTCGGCCCACCAGGGACAAGTTTTGTGGGCTATCCAGTAAATGACTAAATAACAACGCTATTAAAAACTGTTTTCATACGGAAAAAAGCGCCAAAAAAGTGTTCGAAACCAGGGTGTATCGATCGCAAAAATATCTCAGTTTTGGTCGGCTCAATATAAAAGTCTTTTGTATTAGGTACATAGTATTAGTTGTAT